CCAATCAGGAAAAAGAAGAGTCTAGTAGGGTAAAGAGAGTTATGAACCGTCGGGGCTAACAGTTTCAAAGAAACCATTACAGGGATAGTAACGCTCAACGTTATTCAATTATGCGAAGACTTCATTTGCGAATTACGGTTAGCTTGTAACATGTAAGTACATTTAATATTTAATATTAACGTACAAATTCTCCCAAGTAGCTTGTAATAATTATTTTAAAAGCTAGTTAATTTATTAGATACTCTGGAGGAAGTATTAATTTTGAATTTTGAGGACAACGATTACCATAAAGGTCCTGGTATTAATTATTACGATGCATTTAATAATTATTATGAACTCGATAATTATTTGAAATAGCTGAGTAATTAAGTTTAAGTACTACGTTGTTATCATTATTATTGTTATTATTGTTACTATTATTTCTAAAGTTCGGAGTAGTTGTTGAGCTTAAGTATCAATGAATAAAAACCCCCGTTAATCGATAGAGCACGCGGATAATTATTGTTAAAAGTTTAAAGTTATATACAAGTGCCGATAAAAAGTTTCAGGTTTTATTAAAGCTCTTGTTCCGGCTGATTTCTGTTCGATTTGTCGTAAGTCATAAGCGATTAATCGCACGTGTGATAATATCGCGGGTGTAAATTATATGCAGGGAGGATCGAGAATAATAGCCGAGAGAGAGAGATGAAAAATGAGAGCATGAGCCAACGTCTCGGTCCTCATAAACGCGCATGACTTACGACGTCGATAGCCGCTTCGAATGTCTGCAGTTTAATATATTTATATTCATATTCATATCTGTAAGTAAAGAAATACCACGGAATAAAGTGCTATATGTTATGTGTTTCGAGATTTTTCACAAATCATGTTTACCTGCTAATAAATCGAGGGGCTTATAATCACCAGACCGGTCAGCCGATCAGCGATTATAATTTAACATGCTCAGTATTAGACACTTGTAAATTATTTGCACGAAGTTTACACGGAAAAAAGTAAATTGTAATAAATAACAGTCGATTTATAATAAGTAATGATCAACTGCTAAAAATTACCATTTCAAACACATAGAAAAAATAAATTTCTTGTGCCAAGAAAATTTTAAGGAAGACAAAAGTTATTTTGGAGCAAGAAGAAATTTTCTTGACTCAAGAAAATTTACACTCTAGTCAAGAAATTTTTTTTTCAGTGCAGTAAAATCGTGATTTTACTATTTACTTTATAATATTTATCATTTAAACGTTACAATTTATTCTTTACATGGAAGAAAATACTATTTCAAATAGTAATATTCGCTATGTGAATGTCTAAAATGTTAAAGTATAATAATTAAGAATTTAGACTTTGATATTTATCATTTCGTACCTAAAAAATGATCGCATGATATGTAAAAAGTATAAAATAAAGTTAGTAAATTTTTAATACAAGCAACGTCAATATTTACAAAGTAAAATGGTAAATTTTAAACGCAACGCTAAAAATCAAACTGTAATTATTGACTTGCTTGGACTAGTAAAATGTATATTTTAATGAAAGGATAATTTTGACTGTTTCAAATGTTAAATTCTCCCAGAGTGAGACCCTCCTTCTTATCTGAGTTCCCTTTCTCCTCATAATATGGACTATATATTGAAATGGCAATTTTTACTGTTTGAAACTGTAATTTTTTAAGGGGGAACACCACTGTGACGATCGAAAAAAAGAGGTAATTTTCGGGAATTTTTTTGACTGGGAAAATAAAGGAATTCGGGAATCGGGTTTTTTTTTTTATTTTATTAAGGGTACATTAAAGATTATTACCCTAAATTTTTATTAAAAAATATTTAATTATTACAAAGTTATCAACAATCTCGTCGAGTACTAGAAAAAATTTCCTTCTCCATGGTCGGTTCGATAACTCAAAGCGGATCATCTGAAAATAATAACCCAAATCGCATTTTAATCAGTAAGGATGTAGTTATCGTCGCAGGTACGGAATTTTGAAAATTTTAATTTTTAAAAAAATGGCGACTGATTGAAAATTTTCTCACTATCCTTACTGTTTTTTTTTTGTTTTAATCCGGCTAAAAAAATCTTTAAAATAAAAATTTTTTTAATTCCGTACGTGCCACGATAACTACATCCTTACTGATTAAAAAGCAATTTGGGTTTTTATTTTCAGGTTATCTGTTTTTGAGTTATCGAACCGACCGTGGAGGGGGGAAATTTTCTCCAATGCTCGACGAGATTGTTAATAACTTTGTAATAATGAAATATTTTTTAATAAAAATTTAGGGTAATAATCTTTAATGTACCCTTAATAAAATAAAAAAAAACCCGATTCCCGAATTCCTTTATTTTCCCAGTCAAAAAAATTCCCGAAAATTACCTCTTTTTTTCGATCGTCACAGTGGTGTTCCCCCTAAAGATGAAAGAGTCGATATCAACTATACAGTGACAGCTACTAATTACTTATTTTCAATATTAAACTATAAATTGTGGCTTTTATACTTACTACATTAAGTTCTGTAATATTTATATTTTTGCCACCCCGATGTCCGCTTTACTGTTTGAAACTATAAAAATTAACCGGAATCTAAATGAATATTACAGTTTATTTTTTTCCGTGTATGTTTATTGTCATAAAGACGATAAAATTGAGGAAATTAAGGAAATTCTTGTTATATTATAGTTAAATACAGCTGAAACCTATAATCTGACTAATTATCATGGCATGCGTGTCGGGCGAGAGAGTTGAACAAAAGTTTGGATGACCCGGTGAAATGAGTGCTTTTCACTTAACGTCAGATTCGGTGGTAGTCAGCACGAGCACAGTACCCAAATCCTATACAACTATTTAGCTCGCAATTTAATTATGCACTATAAACTTTATTTATTTTATTTATGAAAACATTTCAATTAAATGAAGCCCGGAATAAAATAAAATAACTAATTTTTAAAAATTAAAATTTTAATTCTATTTAGATTAAAACTTATTTATTTATTTATTTATATTGTATACAAGATAATAAGATAATAAAATGATAAATAGAGTTTGAGGAGAATAAATAAAATAATCACGTCGTGAAAAGAAGTTTTAAACGAGCGTATTCGTTATCTTATTCTCGGGTCTCTATCTCTCTCGATTTTTACTTTTTTTACTCTTTTTCCGACGTAACTTTTAAGTTTTTATTCTTTCTTAAACTTCTTATTCTATACTTCGTCTTCATCGTCACATCGGTTTGGTATCCCCGGGACAAAAGTCTACGGACCCACTCGACAAACAATGAAAGCGCGTTCTATTCCCGACTACCATCTACCATCCACCATTCTCTATATATAGTATATACTATAATCCAGATAAAGATATCTATACACATATATTGATTATCAATTCATCTTTTATCTCTTTTTACACCTCCTGTATCAATCAGATACCTCCAAGTCAAATTAATAAGGATTAAAACTTTTTTTTTCTTTTTTAATTCTATTATTCTATATATAGTTATACATATATACTGGTAATTACACTAAAAAGGAATACGGCAAGTCCATAAAAAAATTTTAATGCACGAGCAAATTGTTAATGAAAGTTTTAGGTAAAAGATTAAAAAATTCGTAAGAGACTTTTTTTTAAGATATTAAATTTTTTTGTCAAAAAGCTCCGTTTTAGTTTTATATTATTTTATATCCCTCAAACAGAGTTTTAATTACAAGTCGAAATTATAAACATTCAAGATTTTTTTGAAAAATTTTCATCTAAAAAAATATGACACTGAAGTATAATAATAAAGTTAACCGACACTTTTGATTTTTTTATTTTGTTTAATTTATTAAATTACAATTAAAAAAATATTTTGAAAAAATTTCAATTATAGTTTTTGAAGTTGTTAACAAGTGAAATTTTTTTTTTTTTATTTTTTTGTAATAATTTTTTCAATAAAAAATTTCTAAAAATTTTGAAATGTCAGCTAACTTGATTTTCATAAAAAAATTTTAATTGTTTTTTTTAAAGAATAAAAAATTATAATGAATATTGTTAATTTTGGCGTAAAAATGGCAAAAACAGGAGCTTTGATACTGTTGAGAGTGAGATTGGAAATAAGGTACAGGTGGAGCTTTGTCACGGGATGAAGGAGGCAAGTGTTAGAGTATAGAGAACCGTAAGAGGACATACAGAAAGTGGTGGGTCGCGGAAGAGGGTGAGAGACAGTAGGAGCTAGCTGTGGGACCAGTAGAGAAAGAAGATGAAAAAGGAGTAGAGGTTTAGCCTACTCGCCTACTCGCAGATAGACGAAGAACCCTGTCTGATGGTGTGTAGATGAAGAGGACGCTTGCGCAAGCCCGGGCGGGCGCGGGCAGTGCCACTGGAGCCCGGCGGTTCAGAGCTTCGCCCGGGACGTCGGGAGGACGAACAGAAACCCACCCGAAATTTTCATCATTTCACTATACACTGTACACTAATCGTTCTTTATAATTTGCTGTTTACTTCTCTGGTTAAATATCAGTATTTATCGTAAGACCCGACGAATTAACAATCTCCATCTCCGTCGCCTCTTTTTTATTGTTTTTCTAACTAAAATAATTAATTATTGCAACAAGAATTATCAGAAATTAAAAAAATTTTTAAATGCCCGGTTACTCCAAAAGAAAACATGAATTTTACTCAAAAGTGAGGATTATGTGAGTGGCCAGTGATATGAGAGTGATATGAGGTGAACAACAACCGGTTAAATGTTGAAATTTATTATTTTTATTGGTACTCCAATAACAAATTTGAGGTGGGAAAATTTTTGGTAATTTATTTTATTGGTGGAGGTGGCGGCGGTGACGGCGGTTCATTAAATTACATCTCACTTTTAGTTCTATTAATTAATTCATCATCATAGAAAGGAGCCAGAGGAGGAGAAAGAGTAGAAGAATTAAATAACACCAACAATAAAATTTTTAGGAGTGAATATTGTTAGTGTACTCGGTAATAAATGTGCCGAAGGTGGTGCGCGCACTGAGATGTTAGTCCAGCCATGGTCCTGGTCGTTACCATGAGGACAACTTCATACGTCAACTATTATGTGCTTTGTCTTGTCTGTTGGATATTACTCGGTATCACCGGTAAGATATATTGTTAACATTACTTTTATTTAATTAATTAATTGTTTCAATTAATTTATTTATGGCGATTAAATGGGGAAAATAACAAGTCGAGAGGCTGTAATACCGTAGGTGGAAAGTCGAGAGTCGAGAAAGAGATAAATGTTATTGGTATTATATGTATTATATGGGGAAACGTAAATAGGGGAATCTGTGATTTTATTAGGGCAGAGGGTAAACACCAGAGAAAAGATGAGATGTACTTTTCATGATTTTAGACTTCTTACTTACTGCTGGGGTTTATTTAATTGCGGACGATCAAGTGAGATTTGTGTAAAGTGGAAACGCAGGTCAAGAGTTAAATCCAGAGGATCAATAAACTTTTGACCTCTTAAAACATATGTTTATCTTTGTTCTATTTTCTGTTTGTTTTAATTTTAGACTCTACTCTGGTTATTTTTATTTAGATAAAATGGAGAAACGGTTTGATAGTTTTTAAAAAGAATCAGAAAAATTTCGGAATGAGGCCTGGATTATTTTTGAAAATTATTGGACGCGTTGGTTGCTGCTCTGGTTAAATGTTTCCCCGATAAAAAAAAAAAATGTATTTTCGGTGATTTCATTGTTTGGAGTTGATGATAGTTACCAAATAGCTGGCATTGTCCAGAAGACAAAAGCGCATTGGGTGTCACGGAGATCGCATTTCTATTTGTCGAATAGAAATGCGGAAAAAGAAGATACTGAAAAGTTGAAACGGAGAAAAAATATGAAAAGAGATCGCGAGCACGACAGATTTAGGTCACCACTGAACTCTGTTCTACTTTATTTTCTTTTTTCTTTTTTCTTTGCCATAATTTCTTCAATTTTCGCTCTCTGAAATAAACAAAAACAGTCTCTCGGGACTTTATACCATCAAATAAAATGTGCTATAAAAGGTAAAGCAAAGGTTTTAAGGTTTTAATAGAAGGTAAAGCGATCGAAGCCCCTCTGGCGTTGACAACTCTTCTCTGGATGCACTTTGTCTCCAACAATAACCGGAAGTACTTTGGTATTGTGTGTGTGTTGGATGTTGGATGTCTGATTCATCGGGATCGTGATTCAATGAAACACGATATCAACAGACAAATTTACGACAACTTGAACTAAACCAGAGATTATTGATAGCATAGCAAATGGCTTTGACCCAATACCACAGACACCGCACACTAAAATATATTTAATTCCATTAACCGCTAGCATCCAACATCCAACATCGAATATTAATGCCAGAGCCAGAGCTCTCTCTCTCTCTCTCCCTGATGGTATCGGTATCGGTATCGGTTTACTATCTTTATAACTTTTTTTATTGTTTCGATTTACATTAACTCAGTCTTTTATATTTACTTTGGCTCTTTGTTCCCATCACAGTTCCAAGTTCTTGGTTCTCGGGAGCTAGCAGTCTTTATGCCTCTAGAATATGCCATCCAAACTGTACTTAAAACTAGTAGACGAGAAAAGCTGCTTCTATTACTGTCGCTATAACTATCACCAGTATTACTATAGACTTTCAAACAAGAGACTACTCGTATAGAATTCCACTCAAAATCCTCTTTTCCAATGTACTGTTTCTACAATCCTCGACCTTTTTCATTTTCATTTTATTCTTAACTCATTATTTTACTCCTGCATAAAACATCGTATATATTTTAAAAGGAATTTCATTATAAAACATATTATTATTTTAAAACCGCTTTAATTCTTAACTCTTTACGGCTATTTATTATTGCTCTTATTTTTTTACAACCCCTGCGTGTAATTTCCACGTGATTATTTCAGTTACACAACTTGATAACGAGAAAATAAGTGTCGGATACCGAGAGAGTAATGCGTGACTTATGGTTAACATTATTTATTACTCCAGATCCTTGTTTAACCACACATTAATTTTTTTTATCATTTGTTATATTTTCTATAAAACCGACAGAGTTTATAAGTTATAAATTCTTCTATTTAATTATCTTTATACGGAAATTAGATTTATTAAATCTCTCAAGAGGAGAAATTGAATAAAATATTAATTCGCCGAGGTGTCGAAAGGGTTTTAAATAGAGTCCATAGATTAATAGATTAGAAACGAGCATCCGGTCCTAGTATTTATAGTCTGGATAATTTATTCACCGGTTGTGAGAGGAAAATGTAGGTCTGTAGGGGTTACCTTTCAAATTCAATGCTCTGGCTCTTATTTATGTTCGAGTTGAGTTTTCTTTGATAGAAAATTTAAAAATACAATCGAGAAAAGCAAACTCGAGAAAAGAGCTTTAAATATTCATTTTTAAAAGCTTGAATATTTATGCGGTGTTGAACTTTTTTTTTTCCTTTCATTATATTTTAAATCAAATGCTTTTATTAGATGATTAACAAGAGCAGATGCTGCTTAATGAAAATCGATTCAAGACGTTCAGAGTATATCAGTATATATTCACTCACAAAGAGATATTATATGTATAATATATAATATATTATAAATAAGTTAACATATTCTCTCTCTTAAAACTCCTTTGCCTTCTCTTGCACTCACTCGACTCTATTTGAAAGCGATCTTTCGATCGAAATTGTTAAATTAACGTGGGTAATGATGTAGGTAGAAAATTAAATTCCCCGTAATTGCCAATCATTTTTTTTTTAACTTTATAAATTATTTTGATATTAATATTTTTTATTTTTTCAGGAGTAAGCACGAGATCTCACTCATTAGTGAAAAGATACGCTGGCATATATCAGGGTCCTTATTTTGACGAACACAGTCTGAGAAATTATACTGCCCAATTGGGGACAAATGCTTTTCTTCCTTGCAAAGTGCGTCAGCTTGGCAACAAATCAGTACGTATATATATTATGCTTTTGCATAATTACACTCCCTTCATTTATTGATTTTTATTTATTTATAACGCTGACGAAAGAATCATCTCGTCTATTTATAATTTAATTTATAATGTATAAAAAATAAAAAAAAGGTTAGGCTTACTCGACATTTATTAAAAAAACGCCATTCGGCCATACCCAACATGGATAGGTAGATTTCTTGTTTGAATATTAAATAAAACACGTTATTAAAAGGCAATAATGTCCTAAAATGTATTTTTTATCATATTTTTGCAAATAACGATATGAGACCGACTACAATAAATAGATATTTAAAGACATCTACCTAAAAAAAATAGGATTTGTAACAGATAAAAGTCATTTGATGATAAAAACTAAAAATTAATTTATTTTTAATTTTTTTTAAATCTTCCAAACTCCGAAGTAAATTGAAAAAAGTATCAAAAGGTGACAAATAATAGCTCAAATTGAAGATAATTATGTGAATTTTAACATAAATTTGATAAATTCAATCTTTTGCGGCTTAAAAATTATTTAAAGAGAAAAGGCTGAAATACGTTTATTGAAAAATTTTTAAATTCAAGGAATTAATTAAAAAAATCATAAAAATTAGACAAATAATAGTTTAAATTGAAGGTAATTAAATAAAGTTTGAGATAAATTTGATAGATTTCATCTATTTTTTACATCTGGATGATTATTTTCATAAAAAATACAAAATTCAAAATTTTTTGAAAATAAAAAAAATTTTCAAACACCCACAACTCGTGAAGTAACCGGCCGATTTTGCTCATCTTCGAACTTGATCTTGATATTGATCCACAGAATGAGCCAACAAAATTTCATAAAGATCGGTTAAGAACTGTGTGCGCAATCCTGCTGACATGGCGCGTTATATCATATATATATAAACTTTTGAGCCAATGCCATTTTTCGACATTACTCGATGAAATAAAACATATTATGATAAAATTTTCATAAAATTACAACTTGAGACCGGCTACAATAGTTAGATTTTTAAAGAAATCTACCTAAAAGAACCTTGATATTTACTTATTTATTTTATTTAGGGCTTAATTCAGAATAATTTAACGGTAAAAGTGAAAATAATGTCTTCATTAAAGTGTAGAGCAAGTTTATTATCCTCTTTTTTTTATCCCCGGTCTTTTATATAGTTGGTAAGTAAAGTCAAGACTTAATACATCGAGTCTTTTCACACCTCAAGTCGTAATGACGCGATTCTTTGAACAAAATCACGCGTGACACTGATTCATAATGCGAGAGTCGTCTGAGTAGCGATTAACTTTTTTTTATTCATGAAACTCGCTCATTAATAAATGAGTAGATGAATAATTCCGTAGAGTAGTAGTTTAAAAAAAGCGTGGTTATGACGGAAAAAAAAAAAGAAAAAAAAATTGCCGTGACCAGGAATCGAACCTGGATTGTTACGGCCACAACGTAAAGTCCTAACCATTAGACGATCACGGCTATTGTGAACGATATATATAGCACCCGTTAAATACGTATATTACTTTCATGCTGTGACACTTTTACATTTATTTATTAAATTGAATTATTTAATTTATATTTGTATACAATCATTGTTAAAAATTGATCATTCAATAAATTTAAAAAATAATTGAAATTTTTTACAAATAACCTCTGAAAAGAAAATTGAATTTAAATATTTGCGGTATGAAAATTAAAAATAAACAGATTAAAATTCATGTAAAATTACGATCCCCATTTAATTTTATACCAACGGAGGAATATAATCAGTTACTTAATCTAAGAGACTCGTTTTTCTGATCGGTTAAAAAAATTCAATAATTTTCATTCGCCCTACTTAACATCTGCTGTGTTTTATAATATCAGTAAAAAAAAAAAAAATCTGTTAATAAAAAACGGCTTGGCATAAATTATAAAACAAGAGTAATAAATAATAAATATAATTTAAGTATCATAAATAATGTGATATCTGTATATCTGAGCTATTAATTCGCGTTATTCGGACTTAGTTTTGACAAGTTACCGAAATGCTATGTGTCAGAGAGTTCTCGTATACTACTTTACTCGAGTTGGTCTCGGTACTCGGTACAGGCGAATTTATTTTCTTGGCATACGATTCATGCTAAGTGTAGTGGAGTTAAGAGAAAGCCAACTATACTGTACTGTACTATAAACTCAACTGCACTCGACACCGTACATTCATATTACATATATACCTATAGGAAAGATCTTTAACAAGTTGTACACCTACAGCGAGTAAATAACCAACTCTTTGGCCCTAGTACACCTATTTCATTTGAAATTTAGCTACCCTAGAACAGTAGTACCTACAAACTAGTGCCTACAGTACTTTCTCCCAGTACAGCTCCTTCTGTTACTTCTCCATACTCTTTACTCTTTACTATCGTCTGAACTTAAGCCAACACACCTAACCAGCTACCAGACGAAAATTAAACAAGGTGCCTGCAATTGCAAATGTTATGGCAATTAGACAGAAACTTTTCGTGCTCTGCAACATCTTTTACATGAATACTAACACACATTACACATATGTACATATTAGGATCGCTAACATTCCAACTAGAATAAAGATCGCGTGAGAGTTGTCAGGTGGACTTAGTTACACTTTGCATAATTTATTTTTTATTTTACTTTGGCAAACATTAGTGTGACAACACCTATTCCTCTTAAAATAATTACGGGAATAATTTTAAGTAACAGTTTAAAAATTATTATTATTTCATTAATGTACGCCACTCACGAATTAATAGAAAAAACTTTTGTAAAATAAATTTGGTTTTTAAAATGAGAGGTGTGAGCTAGTACGATAGAAGTTGGCGAAAAAAGGTCAGAATTATTAGCGACACGCAAAAATTATGATAATTATTTTAAAGAAGGGAGTACGGGCTAATGTATAGGTACCATAATTCGATGTTATCTCGATCTGATATTATTATTATTATTATTATTGGTATTATGATTATTATAATTATGAATTTGTGAAATTTCTGGCCACAGATAGGTACTGTAAACTCGGTGACACAAATGCCTTTCGAGCCATAAGCGACGACTCAATTACGTATATTACTTCCGCAAGTGATAAATACCGGTGGTAATTATCGCCGAGTTAGCAACACTCACCATTACATTCATTTTACAAGTTGATTAATTTTTTGAACTTTAAACTCCGGTGGTAGCTGTTATCATTGTTATTATATGTTAAATCCGTTCATTTGTTTACCCGCAATATAATTATTAATGTAAAGCAGTTGACAATTTAAATGAATCGGTTCCTGCCGTTGTATTTATTTTATTACCACTGGGTTTTAAATTCACCAGGCTGAATTTATTATTAATTAAATAATTTCAAACGAAGCCAGTATTTTTATTTTATTTTTTTTTTTTTATCAACCCTCATTCCGACGAAAATTATTAACAACTAAAATAAATTCGTTGGACTGTTTACTCGGCAAACATTCGATGAAATTAATACGATAAAGCAAAAATTGAATGCATGTTTTTGAATAATAATTGCGTTTATTTATCTGTTTGACCGTTAATAAATAAAATAAAATTATTTTAGGTATCATGGATCAGACGCCGAGACGCGCACATATTATCAGTCGATAGAACAATGTTTATAGCCGACGAGCGGTTTCAAACGATATACGCCGACGGTTCAGACACGTGGACCTTGCAAATAAAATATGTCCAGCCCAGAGATGAGGGGGAGTACGAGTGCCAGATCTCAACGGAGCAAAAGATGAGCCACGTCATTTATCTCAGTGTTATCGGTAAATAAAAATACTTTTTTGTTCGTAAGTAGTCATTAATCACTCGCATTGATTCTTATAACTTATATTTTAACAGAAACTTGACCTCGAATCGAATTCCTAGGGGTAATGTCATCTATAAATAAATAAATCATCAGCCTCCGTATCAAAATTACCATAAATAAATATCACGATACTTTGATTCTATATTCGGAGACAGTGATTCATCAAACTTTGACGATTAACTTTTTTACAGTAATTGATTTTGGTGATGACATTAATATTAATTAATGAACCGAATCATGAGTATTTGAAAAATCAATGTCATAGTAATCACATTGAGAGATGAAAAAATTATTTAAAGTAGTTGTTGCGTGATAAGCATTTCAACAGAAAATTATGAAATTTTTTTTATTTTTTACACGTAAAGGTATATAGAGATATGGTAAAGAGTATGAAATTTTCCGTACCACTCGAGTGCACACAGAAAAAAAAATGTTCTTGAATCAAGCATATAATTTTCAAGAACTTAATATTCTTAATTTGAGTAAAAAAAATTCTTGATTCAAGGAAATTTTACTTGACTCAAGAATTTCTCGTTTTGATTTAAGACAATTACCCTCTTCAAAAATATATTCTTGGCTCAAGAATTTTTCCCTTGAATTTTCAGTGCACTGAAAAAAAAATTAAATTGAATCGAAAGATAAATTCTTGAACCAAGAAAATAATTTCGAAGAGTGTCATTGTGTTGAATCAAGACGAAAAATTATTGAATTAAATAAAATTTACTTAAACCAAGAAAAATTTTTTAGTTCAAGAATTTTCATACTCAAATCAAGAAGATGAAATTCTTCAAAATTATTTACTTGATTCAAGTAAATTTTTTCTTCTGTGTGGGCCAAATAATTTCATACACTGAAAAAAAAATTAACTTGATTCAAGAGAAAAATTCTTGAACCAAGAAAATAATTTTGAAGAGGGTAATTGTCTTGAATCAAGACGAAAAATTCTTGAATCGAATAAAATTTACTTAAACCAAAAACAATTTCTTAGTTTAAGAATTTTTCTACTCAAATCAAGAAGATTAAATTCTTCAAAATTATATAATACTTGATTCAAGAACATTTTTTTTTCTGTCTACTAACTTTACCATCTCTCTAAACCTCTACGTGTAAAAGATGCGATTTCGAAAATTAATTACTCAAAAACGGTACGGTCAATTGATCTGAAATTTTGGTAGTGACTTATTAATATATTTATCTTTCAATAAAAAAAAATTTCATAATTTTCTGTTGAAATGCTTATCACGCAACAACTACCTTAATTTGGTAATTTTTTTTATTAACAAAAATAATTTTTTTATCAATAATTCGATCATTAAATGTCAATATACAAAATAAAATAAATATACACATCTCTGTTTCTCCAATAAATATAAATAATTCCATTCAATTAAATCATAAAAATTGGGTTAATTAAATTGAAATTTATAAAAATATGAATTAAAATCTATTGAGCTAGATTTCAATGAATATTTTTATATATTTTGAATAACTAATTTTTTTTATTCAATTGGATAAAATATTTAATATTATTTGTATCAATATTAATAATAAAAAAAAAATTTCAACTGAAATTCCAGTGCCAAAAATAGAAATCATGGGTGACCAGGAGCGACATGTGAAGACCGGAAGCACGGTGACCCTGCGCTGCGTGATAAAGCAATCAGTGGAGCCGCCATCGTATGTATTTTGGTACCACGGAGAGAACCGAGTGCTGGAGGATCCACGCGGGAAATGGTCAATAAACACGGCGGACAAAGAAAAGGAAAAAGACAAAGACAAAGACAAGGTAGTGGGATTTGAGAGTATCCTGACTATCCACGATGCCGGTCTTGAGGACTCGGGTAATTACACCTGCAGTCCCAGTCAATTAGACAAAGCAAGTATTCACTTGCACGTGCTGAACGGCGAGCACCCGGCGGCTATCCAGAGAGGAATAAGCGCCGCGCTAGGAGGCTCCAGAGCGCTCTGGTGGCTCGCCGGTTGCGTCAGTTTATCCTTTAATCAGGGCAGACGTACTCTCGTCCTCCTCGTTCTCGTTATCATCCTCCTTGTCACTTATCAGAGATCCATTCGTTTGGCCTACACCGTCACACGATAATCCTCTCCGTTAAATTATTATAATTACATCAATTATTGTAAATTTATAGATCCACCGCTCTCTTTCGCCCCCTGTTGATTATTTTTTTTTATTGTTTGTTGGCTAAGGACTTCTTGATCTCTGATTGTGATCTATACTTGGATTTTTATTATTATTGTTTATGATAAATATCAACCCGTCATGAGGGCTACAGAAGACTCTTGTGTTCCAAGTGAGAGGAAGAAAAAATCCAGCAAAGGTAGAAGGAGAAAGATATTAAAAAAAAAAGTCTTCCTGATATGAGGTATTCGTGAGCGAGCGAACGACCCAAGTCAGCATCGATTTTACTATTAGGCGCGCCACGCTTCCGTTCTCCGGGGCATTTCAATTCGTCTACACTTCCTCGAGGAAACTCACCCTCTCTAGTCTCATTACCTACGATTCATCACTGGGTTACTTTTATATACATATTTTAAAGAACTTTAAGTGATAAAAAATAATATTATTTCAACGTCTGAGATTAATTATTCTGACAAATGGAACGGGTTGAGTAATTTACTGTTTAAATTAAAAGTCGTTCGTCCAAATGCTCTGTTAAATTAAAAACAACTAAAGAAAATAAAAAAAAAAAAAAAAATAAAGAAAGAAATGGTTAAGAAAAATAAATTATAATAAATTTTTTATAATAAATATCGTTAAAGCCGGGGGCGTTTCAGAGTTTATTCGATCTTTTGCGTTATCGCGTAAAACTTTCACGTCAAATAAATGATAAACAAACAAGTAAAGAAAAAAGAAAAAAAAGAATAATAATAATTATTATTATTATTATTATTATTATCATGAAGATAAAGTATGAAAATTGTTTTTTCCCTCACAAGAATTGAAACTTGTTCGATAGTTATAATAGAAACGAAAAAAAAAAAATATAAATGGAATCGTAAACAAGAATTAACGATGTATACACTCGACGTCCATCGTGCCTGCTCATCCTCTTGACAATGTGGAGTCGATAAATGTTTACTAAAAAATTTTTAAAAATCTAAAAAAAATAACAAATAAATTCTCGACTTGATAAAAATAACGTTCAGGCACTCGAGAGCTAGCTAGCACTGGGAACGGATTGGTTCCGACAATAAAAACAGACCTCTTTTTAGTCTCTCGCGTGTCTGAAAATAGTTTAAATAAAAAAGTATAAATATATATATATATACATATATAAATATATGAATTGAGTAAATAAAAGTAACTCCATATCTTGAGATAATGAACAAAAACGTGGTCGCAGAAAACATTGAGTGTATACATCATATATAATATCCCGATGCGCGATATAATACGAAAACGATTAAAAAAAAATGTTTCAAGCCAAACAATAAAGCTGCTTTTATGTATTATTATTATTATTATTTACGAAGATCGGTGTATTTTATTAATTAAAGAATATATTATTTCAAAGCCATTATTCCCGATCCATATTGATGTTAGACTAATTTTTAATATTAAATTTTTATTTATTAAATTTATTTTCACCACTTTTCGGTATGAGCACTCATTACCATCTTCGGGTGAATATATCTAATAATTAAAAATTTTTAATTTCTAATTAAGATTAAACAAAGAAGTTAATTTTTTTACTCAGTGTAACTTTTTTCAGTAACTGAAAAAATAACTCAGACAGACCAGACCAGGACTCGAACCTGGATTTTTTGGTTACAAGCATTTGGCGCGTAGTAAAAATTACATTTTTCTCTAACAATAATTGTCGAAAAACAAATTTTAATTGCGAATTTCACCTAAATTTTCTCTGATGGTATGAGACCTCATACCGATAAAAATATTATGGTGAAAAAGTAATAATCAAAAATTAGTCACTCTTCAAGAAAATTTGGATCAGGAGTATTCGGCTTAGAATAATAATAATAACTATCTATCTTTATCAATTATTATTATAATTATTTATTAATAATAACTGAAAGTAGTTATTGATATGGATTAAATGAAACACTGACGATGAATTAATTATCGCCATAAAAACATGCGAGACCGTCCTGAGTTACATATTGTGTATTTACACGAGTTTCATATTGCTAACAAAGTAAACGAACTAAAACAACACACAGCTATACATTTATGCATACAAATAGAAAATAAAATAGTCCAAAAAAAATGAAATAAAAAATGTACGCATGCGATATGATACGAATATAAACGCAATATCAAAGCATACAAATGTAAACTCGGATATATATTGATAGTAGCTTCCCCTTCAGGCAATACAAATAAAATACTGTGTGTTGGATTCTCTCATTACTCTACGCATTGATATATGTATTTATACACGTATATATATTGATAATATTAATAAAAATAAAAATAATACGTATATTATATTAATATTAATAATAATAATAATAATAATGATTATGATAATAATGAATATACACACTGTTTACGCGTATACAATTGATATATATGTTTATATTTACATATATATATGTTGTATACAAATTTATACGTGTATCATGCTAGAGTACATTGAGATAACTTATTAATGTGCAAAAAAACACGCGTATGCATTTAAATATACAATAGTAAATAAATAAATGTATTATTGTATATTTGAAATGTAAAACAAGCTCGTTTATTTATCCGTGTTTTTTAATTATTAATATTAAATGACCGAATATTTGTTAATGATATATTTAAAGCAAATATATATATGATAATGATTATGAAGTAAGATGGATATAATATACGAATGGATATTGAACAAGTTTCAGCTCTATAAAGAAGGAGAAAATACTTAATTTCTATTAATACATATATTCTATTCGCTTGGGATTAGAATTATTTTGAGTCGGTGGATAATTAAATTTTTTAATTGACCCGAGGATTCGACAAGGAAATATACGAATATAGAATAAAATAACGATTAATGTGATTGTCTGTAAATATATATAGTATATAAATAAATAATGTAATGTTAATTATATGCCGTACGTGTTAAATTGAACTAACGTTTTAAAATGTGTAATCAAGATTCAGTAAACGCGTATGTGTATTTATTTACATATACATGTTTTAGACAACGGTATAATATTACTTTTGGGTAAACGGATTTTTAAACAAAATATTAAATAATTATTTATTTATTATTATTTGATTGTTTAATGTTTTTCTGTTTATTAATGCTAAATTTTGTCTGGCCGCCTGTGCTAACTGATATCTTTTTTATCCAGTACTAGTAATATATAGATAGCGACTGATTAATATTTCACTATATAGAGCTTGGTTGAATTTTTTTAATTTTATTTTTATGGAAATTTAATTAAAATTTCATTTACTTTGAATACTGTCGATATATTATGGGGAAAAAAGAATAAGTTATAACTTTTTTACGAGAGGAAAATTAATGCGTTAATTAAAGCATGTCAGGTTTTGACACTTTGTTACTTTATTTTATTTTTTTATGTCACATGCAGAATTAAAACTCCGTTTTGAGAGTTTGACGAGATTAAATAGAAAAAAAATAATAATTATTTAGTTAAATAACACAATTGATAATAAAAGTATAGAAAATAATGAAAAAAAGTGATTGAGGATAGCACGGGCTGGCCACACACGTTAGACATAACATATAATTAATGCATAGAATTAAGATTTAAAGTGATTACTGTGAGTGATTGCTTGAATAATAAATAAAAATGTCCGAGTTTGTTAACCAACATGAGCCAGTGTTATCGGTCGGTTGACAAAAGCTTAATACGTCGTTGGACTGACGCTTGTGATAAACGTTGGTCGAATGACAATCTAATAAAGGGGTAACTTGGACCTTCTGATAAATAAATAATAAGAGACTCTGTCTTCAGCATTACGGGTGGTTTACTTATTTTTCCATTCGTATATCGTTCGTGTTTCGGTTACGAGTTTGCTGGTAGTTTGTATAATCGCCGAGCTGAATTCCAGAGTCTATATAGACGTCCTCGTTGCTTCTTTAGATAAATTAATAAATAATTAATTATTATTATTAATATTATTTATGTATATATATTTATTAATAAATAAAAAATATATATATATATATAAAATAAAAACAAATTGGTCTAGGATATCGTAGCAGCATTGAATTTTTGTACCAATATCTAATGTAGTTAAACCACTTTTTTATTTTTTAAAATTGAACTGATCCTAAGATTAATTCTTTTTTAAATTAACTATTACTTACGAGATTTTAAATCCGAATTCATAAATAAAATAATTTTAATGTTATAAATATATATAATACACATATATACATATATATTTTTTTTTTCGAATTATTTCAACATATTTTCGTATTTTTATGCGAGAATATGTTGAATGTGTCCATGGAAGTGTTATTGCTTCTTCAGGGTGTATCCCCGTAATGCAAATTAATGATTATTATTAATAACACTAAATAATAATAAAAACAATACTAATAACTAATAAAATAATAAATAATTGATTGATCAAGTAATGAATTAATGAAATTTGCGATTCTTCGAGGTAAAAATTGTAACAGATATATATATAAGTTATGATAAATGTGAAAAATTAATTAATTAAAAACGTTTGTCCACGTTACGTTTTAATGAGGATTAAATTGAATAATTGTTTATTCAAATAAATTAAATTAAAAAAAAAAAAATGTATGAGAAAAGGACATTCGTATCACTGATTCGAACGTTCGACGAAAAGTCTATTAATTATAAATAAATAAATAATTAAAATACTTGTAAGCCTTGTCGAGCGAGCGAATGAGCCGAAATTATTTACTACTTAAATGATTGATTAATTAATTTATAAATGGGAAACCTCGAAGCAAGCCTTGTCTCGCGGATTTTTGAAACCGAGGCTCCTAAGTCTCATTATCGAATCCGCGAAATGACGCGGAGGAATGATTAAAAAACTACCAATGATTATAAATAATATTAACATTAACATAATTATTAATATTAATAATAATAATGATAATGATTAAAATAAATAATTTTAATGAATAATGATTACCGACTAAAGTACGAACGAGAGTGTGAGAGCAAATCGTTACGAGTGAACAGTGGAAAAATGTTAATCATGCATTTAAAATAATAATTCGTTGGCATGCAATACAATAAGCGTGAATTATTTTTGTTCGTGTGAGTAATGGCTATTATTTTTATTTTTTTAGCGTACGGGCCTGTGAATTGTAATAATGGTTTTTATTTATTTAACAATGCTCAAAGTAAAGTTATCGATTCTTTTGTTCGGTTTACTTTGAGGCGGGAACTTTTGTAATTAATGACATAGATGTAATTTATTAATTATTAATATTTATATTCACATTATTATTGAAATTTATATTTATATTTATATATTATATATTTTATAATTTAGAAAATTTATTTATTTTTTTTAAATTTCTCGCAGGGATTAATAAAAAATACTATTAATTAAAAAAATGAAAAAAAAATTGATAAAATAATATTAATACTGCAGATACAAACAACTTCTGATATGTATGTAAGAATCATTGCTTATAAACATTATTATATAAAACAAAAAAGAAAAAAAAATCAGAACAACATACGGGAAAACTTTGAACAAAGTAACCCGAGCCGTTTATTATTTTGTCATTATCCTCTTCATCAATATGATTTTATAGTTGGTATAAATAAAGATAAAACAAAAAAAATTATTAAAAAATAAATAAATAAATACCAAAAAAAATTAACCATTGATTTTTGACTGATTTACACACCTCAATGATCACAACAGCAATGATAATTTTATTTTTTATATTTAAGTGAAAAAACCTGAAGTAGTTTATTCGGACTTTTTATTTTTGTCACGAATATCCATGCAGTTTTTAATAATCTTCTGGAATGAGAAGAGGTAACAAGCGCCGACAACTCTCATTAATCCCATCGTTAAAAATTGAAGGAATAGTTCCGCAAGCGAGGAGACGGGTGACATTCCAGCAGACAAAGTTGTCAGCATGAACCCTTCGAAGCCGACAGTCGAGAAAAATCGACCAGCGCAAGCATCGGCGATCAATTGTTTAGCGACGACATCTGCTTTCACTAAACCCGCTGACTCGGAAATAAGTTTTGTCTCGAGAGGCTTCGATTGCTCCTCCACCGCGAATCCCGGGGTATCGGTATCTGGAGGCAGGCAGAGAGTCACTGATACGTTGTGAGGATTAACTTCCATCGCCAAGCTCTCGGATAAGCCTCGGAGAGCGAATTTTGAACTGCAGTATGCTGAGTATCCAAATATTCCTATTTTTTTTTTTTTAAATAAATTAATAACAATTTTTTTAATACTCAATTACAGTAGAATCTCGGTAACTCGAACCTTGTTAAGTCAAAATTCTCAGTAACTCATTTTTGATATGGTAACATAATTCTGAATTTAATGAATTTAATTAAATGATTGTTTAAATTGATTTAACCATGTTTTCCAATTATCCGTGATCCTGAACGTATTTTTATTCTCAGTAACTCGAAAAAAAATTTGTATTCTCTTCCGCTGGACTCTTAAATACGCGATATCTCGAGTTATTTAGACTCTGTAACTCGAACTTAGTATCGTTTACCTTCCAATATCGATGAAGGATATTTAATAAGGTGCCTCAAAATTTAATCTCTAAAAGCAACTATTTAAAATTGGAATTTTGAGTTCTGCTTTTAGCAGGAGTTAGGTTTGGGCATTTCCTGAGATATTTTGATGTGTCATGATTTATTGGATGCTCACATAATTGTTTAACAGGAGTTTTGTTGAAGCGTTTTTTCTGGAATTTAAAAATTTCAAAATTTGGCCAAACGAAACTCCTATTAAAAAATTCTGTGAATATCAAATAAATCGTGACACACCAAAATATATCAGGAAATGCCTAAATACAGCTCCTGTTGAAAGCGAAACTCAAAATTCCAATTTTAAAAGGTTGTTTTTGAAGATTAAATTTCGACGCACCCTAATATTTATACCTTATAACTCGAATTTTAAAAGTGAAACTCTATAAGTCGAAGATAGTAAAATATAAAGACGTTTTTCTCCGAACTGTCCCAGCTTATAGCAACTAAATCTAAATTCCTATAGGAATTTTCAATGCTTCTTATATTCTTGTTTGTAATGTATATTTTCTCTCTAAGTTATTTTCTTGGAAATCAAGTGTTTTTTTAATTTTTTTGGTCTACTTACAAATTTCGTACATCTTGTTAAGTCGAAAACTCGCTAACTCGAAGTTTTTATCACTTCCCTTGAAGTTCGAGTTATCAAGAGTCTACTGTATAAATTTCTAATTTAATAAGACTAATTTTTTGATTCTATTGATAAAATTTACCTATAAGTGCAGCTTGTGATGATGTTATAACAATAATACCATCCTTTGCGCTTTTCATGCGAGGAATAACGGCCTTGGTACAATAATAAGTGCCCATAAAATTCAAGTTAATTATCCAGTTGAGAGTCTCTATTGTTGTATCCTCAATTTTCCCGCAAATAGCCATACCCGCGCAGTTAACGAGCATGTAAATAGGCCCCATTGTCTTCTCAATATCCAAAAAAGACTTTTCAATAGTTTCATAGTCCTTGGATATATCCAGCGACAAGTACTCGATCCGCTGCGAGTCTCTGTTTTTGCATGCGCTCATTATATCATTGCGAGAAGCCTCCAATTTTTGTACATCCCGCGCAATAATCGTCACGTGAGCGCCCATTTTCGCGGCCAACATGGCTACGGCCTTTCCGATCCCACTTGAGCCTCCGGTTATCTATTTACATTGTTATAAATAATTAATTCAAGACAACATATATCAATAAATATACAAGATTTATAGTATAAAATAATTTCTTACCACGACATGTTTGCCTTCAATATTTTTTCGTTGACTTGGAAACACTAGTTCCTTCACTAACCACACTATTATCGCAATGACAATCAAAACACCGATAATAAATAACATTTTTCGGTTTTTAGTGAGCGTTTAATTCAATAAATGTCTTCAATTATTGATGTATTAGAAGAGAGGCTCTTTTTTTAAATATAGACGGTAATTAATTATTCAGTTTAAATTTAATTAGATTAAAATAAAAATAAGACAACCCAGCGTGCCTAAAAACTGAAAATAGTTGTTCTATCTGCAATGCGATGTCGTGAGAATCGTTATTACCAACCAAAATTTTTATTTCTGTTTTTATAAATACAATTTTCAATTCAAATTTACTATAAGGTAAAATACCCAGTACTTGAACATTTACAAGAATGAGACTAATACTTGAACAATCAGTAAAAAAACAGTATATCATCATTTTAAATAAAAAAAAAAATATGATACTAAAGTTAGCCGACGTTTTTAATTTTTTTTTTTTAATAATTAAATTAGAACAAAAAAATATTTTTTAAAAATTGCACTTACAGTTTTTCAAGTTTTTAACGAATGACAATTTTTTTTTCTTTTTTTTTGTAGTCATTGTTTCAACAAAAAATTTTTTTTTAATTTTTAAATGTCGGCTAACTTAATTTTCATAAAAAAATTGTACCATCCAATGAAATAGTCTATTCTAAATTATTAATGCATATTTTTTACAAAGACAAAATGCACAATTCAATAAATGCACCAATTATTGACCGATTAAGGTTTTCTTTTTCTGTACTAAGCTATAAAAAATCTATTAACCTACTAAAACCAATTTATAATGGATTTTATTAAAGTTAAATACTTAATTAATAATAATTAATAACTATTTATAATAAAAATTAACAAAATTATATTAATTTTGTTATTTGAATCTTGAAATACTAAAATCACCAATTATTGACCGAAGAAACCCAATAAATGACCGACCGTTATCCAATTAATTGACCGCTCAAATAATTATAAGTAATTTTGTAAACTACATGTATATAATTAAATATATGCAGTACTTTTGAAGTATTAACCACATCTTTAACAAAACTAAACATACAATATAATTTTAAACACATAATAAAATTAAAATATTTTATATTATGCCGATATATATCACTAAATTAATGATGAAATGCACTCACTCTCCAATTGTACGGTAGTTATTTTTGACCGCTTTATGGCTGGTTGCGTTGTAAACAAACTCAGAATATTTTTTTAAAGCTATAATCACTGCGCAATTAATTGCGTAATTTTTTATTATGATGATTAAATGCCATATTTTTTTATTTTAATCCTTTAAGAAAAAAAAAACCCTTGTAAAATATTAATTAATTAACTTTTTTATACATCGGTCAACTAATTGGTGACCGGTCAACAACTGGTGCATTTACCCTATTACCACACGGAAAAAAGAAAACTCGAAAAATTACTGTATGAAATGAAAAATCGGTCCCGTCGAAATCAAAAGTAGAAAAATTTCAGTTTGAAATAACATTTTTCTAAATTCAATTTTTTAATTTAATATTCAGAGCTTTCAATGTAAATATGACAATCTACAATGTAATTTTTATAAAATCTGTAATAATTACATTTGAAATTGTAATTTTTCCAGTTTTCATCACAAAGCGCCACGTTGCATTATATACAGTATACTGTAATTTCTCAAGTTTTCTTTTTTCCGTGCATGTATTTTATTAATTCAACTACTGCTCTCGGAGTATTCAACTACTACTCCTTTCATAGTCTATCTTAAAAACGTTGTCAAAATATAAACATTCAATTATCTTTGTTATTTTGGGCTTCAATGAATTCAAAATTGTTTATATTTTCATGAAAATTACTTATTTGAACTAATAATTACATCTTTATATATTAAAAGTAGGGTCAAGTACATTTTATTTTGAAACCTGTTCAACTACTGGGTACTTAACCTTATAATATATTTTATGATAAAATTATAAAGAAAATAAATTGTTGAGTAGTGTATTTATTTACAAGATACCAAAACAGTTTATTAAATAAAAAATATTTATTTAAATTATTATTAATTCTACCAGCTAAAGAGTAAATTAAAAATTGAATTAAATTTATAAAGTATAAATGAAACTCAATTTTCAACAGCAATTGCTTCAGCTTCGACTTCGCTGTCTTCAGACTCTTCCATTTTCTCGTCTTCGGCTTCCTCAGCCTTGTGTTTGTTCTTGAGTCCAGCAGCTGGAGACCGAATGAGACATAAATTACGCTGGACTTCCTTGATATCTTTATCCTCCTCCAACTCACGACCCTTTCGGAGCCGCTGCATGATATGAGTGTTGGTTCGTTTCTGTCTGATCTCCTCAACTTTCTTCATACTTGTTATCACCTTACTCCACATCTCGCGGTTGTACTTGACAGGAACATTACGACGTTTCTCGAACTCGAATGCCGGGTCAACAGCAAGTTCCTTGCCGACCGTCTTCCTGTACGCTTTTGTCCATCTTGTTTTACGTGGGTTCTTGCGTTTTTTAAACGCTGCGTGACACTTTGATCGACAAAATCTGAATATCTAAAAATAAAATTATTCATCAGTTCTAATCAAATTTTTAATAAATATTTTAAAAAATTAAATTAATTAATAAATAAAAAAAAATGTTTAAAGTTCTGTTAATTTCAGTTTCATGTAAATATTGTAATTTTCATAACCTATACAAATCTCACATGGTCAAAGTTGATAAAAAATAAAAAATTTAATTACCTTGCAATCATTTCTCACAAATTGTATTCCATGTCCTGGATAAATTCGCGATGAACAAAAATAACAAGTCTCGATACGCATTTTTTTATTTTATATTTAATTACTCACAACAATTATATACACTTAACTCTTACCCACGTTGTCGGGTTGTATTCACTTGTCATAAAACATAAAATTATCTAGAAAAGAAACTATAGTACTGTTTTGAACTATAGTTCTTAAATTATAATTTTTTTTGTCGACTTGTTAGTGAATTTTTTAAAAATTAATTATTGAAAAAAATTTTTTTATTAATAACTTAAAAAAATTTATTATTAATAAATAATAATTAATGAAATAATTATTAAAAAATTAAATTTTTATTAAAAGAAACGTGAAGTGACATCTAGCGTACAACCACAGAAGGAATATCAAATAAAATTGTGGATAAAAATGATAATGATAATAGTATTTATACCATACACTATCAGTTATCATATGTTTTCATACACACACACATTAATTACATTAAAATAATGCGTGCAACAAGTAGTCTATAGTCTATAGTTCCTGTAGTAAAAGTATGTACTGGTAACGGGTGAATCTCATTATCGTGACGCTGAATTAATTAGTTTTGAATGTTTGTTTGTTTGTTTTCGTTATCTTTTATTTATATCTTGATTTCTCATTACCTTCGACACTACTGTTCATAATTAATTACCGACATTCTAAACAAAACACACAATTCATTATCTATTTTAAAAATTTATCATTACATATTTATTTACAAAACTAAACCTGTAACAATGTGATAAAAATTTTGCTCTTTCTTGGATGAAAAATACTCGATATTTATTTAAAAATTTTATAAAACATTTCATCTATTTTCTGACCTCAGGTAATTTAATAAACAAAAATCATACCAAACAGTTAATTAATTGCAAACTGGCGCCCTGTGTAGAAGTGATGTAATGACACTGCAGTGCTGATTGTTGGATCCGAAATTGCTAACTGTTATTGATCTAAAATGTTAATTCTCTTGCAATCATATTTATTTTGTAAGATTCTTGCTCAAGCCTCACCAGTTTAAAACTAAAAATCTGAATTGTGTTTATAATTCTATTTTTAAAATAAGTAACTAATAATTCAAAGTTTCGTGTTAACCCTTATTGACCCTAAGATGGCGCATAGGGTGCTAGATGAATATTTAGCATCGTTGAACCCTGAACGCTGAGTATGGTCAGCTGATTATGAAGAATAGTTTTATGATAATTTTATGTTGGAGTATTATGTTTAACTACTACCAATTTAAATTGTAAAATATTATCTAAGTAAGATTAGATAATAGTTTCGTATAAATATTATTATTATACTAAAATGAGTAAATTGAATCTTAGCATAAATAGCCGCATTAATTGCTAGGTTTATAAATTTTGGAGTTAACAATTCAATGTTTTTATAGCTGAGGTAATTATTAACCACATGGTATTGAATTAATTTAATTTAATCTATAATCTAACAATTAATTGACTCTTTTGTATGATTCTTGTTTATAGTACCTGAAAAGTCGGGAAACCGATTAAACTTTGTACAAAAGTCTTAAATAAATATGGAGAATTTAATCACACTGTAATATAAAACAAAATATATAAGAACCTTTATATACTTTCAAATAACAGGTTTAAAAAAAAAAAAAAAAAAAAGGAAACAAACAAAAAAACAGCTGGAGAAAAATTTCCACCTGTCATTCAACTGAATCAACAGTAAAATTTATGTAACTATAAGTATTTTTATAGATAAAATACCATTGGCTGATTTAATTAATTAGTGGTGCAATAATGGTGCATTGCAATTAAAAATAATAAAAAAATAATCAATCTTAAAAATGGCGTCTTCTGAAATTGATGATTTTTTATCTGGACCACTGGTTACCTGGGTAATTATTAAAATTATTTATTTAATTATTAGTATCTCTATTAAATTGATTATTTTTTTATGTAGTTCGGTAGCTGTCTAGAGGATCCTGATGCTCTTGCCAACTACTATGACCTGGTAGACGGTATGCTTCTCCACAATGTATTTTTACAAATGTAAGTGTTGTAATTAATTTAAAAATAATTTTAGAGTAAATAAATCAATTATAAACTGATTTTTTAATAAAAAAATTCTAGTGACCCAGAGCCGCTTCACGACGGTGTGATACCGAGTTACAGTAACCCGTCAGTGCGGATAAAAAATCTAGAAATGATAATCAGTAACATCCGTAAATTTTACGAGGAAGATCTGGGTTATTTGGTGATAAAACTACCGGATCCAGTAAAACTTGGCAAAGAACCCGAGTTACATGTATCAGAAATCCACTTACTGCTTCAGTTACTTCTCGGCTGTGCAGTACACTGTCCAAACAAAAAGGATTTTATTACAAAAATTTTTTCACTGCCTGAGATAGTTCAATCAGGAATAGCCGATTGCATTAAAAATGTAACAGAGATGACAGAGATAGTGATAAACCAAGACACGATGGGTGACCCGTCCGAAGTTTTCAAACTAATGAAGCAATTCCTTCACGAGCGAGATTTTTACCGGGAAAAATGCAAGTCAACAATGTCTGGTGATTTATCAGGAGCCGCGGGCTCGCCTAGTCAAGATGAATCGGCCAAAAATCAGCAGGCGAACGCTGTCAAGTCTGACCAAGAGAACCATCACTACGCGGTGGAGCTGGCCGACTGGAAATCTAAAATCCGGAAACAAAGACACGAGTTGGAGGAAAAAACAGAAGCTTTGGCTGAGTGCAAGGAAGAGCTCGAGCACATGAGAGCTACTGTTGCTAAATTGAAGCAGGAGAATCAGGAACTGATGCACGAAGCACGAGCTGTCAAGACCTATCGCGATGAACTCGACGCGATGATGCAAAAGGCTGAACGGGTTGACAAACTGGAGGCCCAGGTCTTGCGCTACCAGGAAAAGATATCAGACATTGATTTCTACAAAATTCGGGTTGAGGAGTTGAGGGAGGACAACCGAATGCTGATGGAGAACCGCGAGATGCTTGAAGACCAGCTTAATGTTCAGAAGAGACGAGCCGAGAAAGCTTTCGAGCTAGAGTCTGAAATCATCAAGTACAAGGCACTGATTAACGACATGAATCTTGAACGCGCAGCTGAGAAGGAAAAATACCAAGAGTTGCAGGAGGAAAATAGTCAGCTGCATAAACTGAAGAAAGCTGCCGATGATGAAGCTGCTCGTGCTTCTGTTAGCGAGTCTGAGGAATCTGTGCCGGATAACAGGTTGTCTGAGCAGCTGACAAGCAATGCGCAGACCCGAGCGTTGAAACTAGAGCTGGAAAATCGTCGACTGACGGCTTTAGTTGACTCGCTGAAAGAAAACTCATTCCACGAGTCTTCTTCGCGGCTTCTGGAGCTCGAGAAGGAGAAAAAGAAGTTATCTTTGAAGATCGACTCGCTCACTGACAACAATGAACGTTTGTCGCAACAGAATGCCGATTTGGAGTCGGTTTGTAAGCAAGCGCTGGAGGAGAACAAGAAATTGCAAAATACTTTGAAGAACCAGCGAATGTCCTTTGAGCGTCAGCAACAAGACTACCAGACTAAGCACACTAAGATCGTGGAGATGGAAAATAATTATGAAACTGTTGTTAAGGAGAAACAACGCGTACAATCTTTGCTAGAAAGTGTTCAGAGACGTGCTGACGAACTCGATCGTTCCCTGGAGTCTGCTAATCAGAAATTGGATGAGTATCGCAATGTTGAGAAGAAATTGAAAGACTCTGAGGTTAAGTGTAATGACTTGGAAGCCAAGATACTTGCTTTGGAGAAGGACAAAGACGCGGCGCTGAGAGATGTTCACAAGTACCGAGAAGCTATTGAGGAGAAAGACGTCGCTATTGATAAGTCAACGAATACTATCGAAGTGTTGGAGAAAAAAATCCAGGAGCTTGATCGAGAGATTGATAATTCTAATTCTCAGATTGTAAGATTACAGGAAATTGAGCGCTCGAGTAAAGAACTGGATGCGCGTGCGGCGATTGACAAAGAAACTCTGGAGACTTTGGAGTCTAATTTGATTGCTGAGAAAATGAATACCCAACAAATTCACGCTGCTTTGGACAAACTTGGGCTCACTGTTGATGTTTTGCTCTCTTTGTCTGCTGAAAACTTTGCCGAGAAGTTAATTAATTTACCGGAGGTGGCTATCCATGTTAATAAATTAATTAACGAGAGTCTGAAGAACCATGTAGATGCTCCGGTGGCTAAAGAACGTGAAGACGAGGATATGAAACCGCTGAAGGAACATATCGAGATGGTCGAGGCGTTGAAGAAAGACTTGGAGAGCACAGCGATGAAACTGATAATGAGTGAAAGTACTGCTGAGAGTTTGTTGGAAGAACAAGCGAAGCTCCAGGTCTCAGTGACTACCTTAACATCAAAGAACTCTTCGTTGAATGCCCAATGCACTGCGCTGCAGTTGGCAAACTCTCAATTGGTTGCGGAGAAGGAGGAGTTGCTCAAAGACAGGGAAATTCAGCAGAGAACTCACCAGCAGCTTCTTCATGATCAGGTGACTCTTCAGTCGTTACACGAACAGCTGAATAACGAGTATGAAAATTTGGTCCAAGAGAGGGAGAATTTGAAAACTAATTTGAGGGATATCAAGACTAAAGAACGGACTTGGAAGGAAACTTGCGAGAGATTGGAGTCGAAGAATAAGATTCTGATGGCTGAACAGGAAGCCTCGGCGACTCACATCAAGAGCTTGAATAACTTGCGTGGCGAACACTCCAAATTGAAAGACGACTTTAGGAACTTGTACTCTGCGATGGAGAAATTAAAAATAGACTATCGGAGCTTGCAGGAAGACTACAAGAAGAATAAAATAGAAAGCAACAGATTGAGCCTGAAGTTGACAGAATTGCAAGGCGAGCTCAGTATCAAGGACGAGTCGTACTCTAATATGGAGTTACAGAACAGTAAATTGAACCAGCGATGCGAGATGTTAGCTCAAATGAACTCTGGGCTGGACAACAACCGGCGCTCACTGATGGACCATGTCAGTGTCTTGCTGAATCAGTACCAAGACTTGCTAACTCACTCGCTTGAAGATAAGGAACACTATCATATGGAGGAGAAAATTTACCGCGATCAGGTTAATCATTTGTCGCGACAGAAGGAGAAATTGGAGGAGAAAATAATGGAGTACTATCGAAACAAGCAGAGTTGCTCGACTAAAAAGAAACGGTTTGGAGCTAACTTGGTTAAGAGAGTGAGGAAAGCCGGCTCGGAACTTCTGCACAAAAATAGACAGTCCTGGACGGAAGATTCTAGACAAGACAGTAAGATTTACGAGTCAGAGTCGGGAGGAAACGATTCTGACATCAGCGTTGATGAACGTAGAGCGTCTTTGGGTATGTTTTATTATTTTTTAAGGGGAACACCACTGTGACGATCGAAAAAAAGAGGTAATTTTCGGGAATTTTTTTGACAGGGAAATTAAAAGAATTTGGGGATCGGATTTTTTTCATTTTATTAAGGGTACATTAAAGATTAGTACCCTAAATTTTTATTAAAAGATAATTATTACAAAGTTATTAACAATCTCGTAGAGCACTAGAAAAAATTTCCCCCTCCATGGTGGTTCGATAACTCAAAAACGGATCATCTGAAAATAAAAACGCAAATTGCTTTTTAATCAGTAAGGATGTAGTTATCGTCGCACGTATGGAATTTTGAAAATTTTAATTTAAAAAAAATAAAATTTTTAAATTCCGTACATGCGACGATAACTGTATCCTTACTAATTAAAAAGCAATTTAGGTTTTTATTATCAGTTTTTGGCTATCGAACCGACCATGGAGGGGGAAATTTTTTCTAGTGCTCTACGAGATTGTTAATAACTTTATAATAATAATCAACTATTTTTTAATAAAAATTTAGGGTAATAATCTTTAATGTACCCTTAATAAAATAAAAAAAATCCGATCCCCAAATTCCTTTATTTTCCCTGTCAAAAAAATTCCCGAAAATCACCTCTTTTTTTCGATCGTCACAGTGGTGTTCCCCCTTAATAGAATTATTTTTGATTTCATATTAATTTTTGTTTTTTTTTTAAAGATCCAACTGCATTTGATAACGATTCTTTGTCATTAGGACATGCTGGTACTCGTAGAACTGTTTATTATACTGATGATTTCCCGTCCCCCACTTCTTCATTAACTGTAAGTTTGTTGTAGTTTTTTTTTTTAATTAGTTATTTAGTTGTTTAAGAATAAAATAATAAATTTATTATTTTAGCATGATTCAAAATTGTCCGATACCTTGCCAATACCGTCAGTAAACGACACTGACGGTCCCAGTAATTTAGACACATCGAGAACAGAAGCACGTCCAGGTGAATCAAGACCATTTTTAATTTACAATAAAATATCAGCTGTTATTAACGAACCAAAAAACACAATCGTTGCCGAAAATTCAACCCCTAATGATGAAATACCCGATACAACGATACCCGTTAACAAAGACGGTACTTCTAAAGTCGGTAATTCCATCTGGTATGAGTACGGATGCGTTTGAATACTTTTTAAAAAGAATACTTTGTAATGTGTTGACGGTTATTATTTTTAAAAATAACAATTGTTAAAATGTAGCATCGAAACAATAAAAGTATTTGAAATATTATCGAGAAAAAGAAAAAATATTCCAAAAAGTAACAGTATGCAATTTAAAATTAAAAATTGAATAACTGCTTCAATATAAGCTGTTCTTTGTCGGCAGATTGCGCGGTTTCTTAAACCATGTGTTACAAAAACTATTGCAGCAAGTTGGTACGAATACTTACACACATATTTATACTTGCTCGTTAAAATACTATATTGTATAATCAAAACAGTTAATGTGTAATCAAATACGTATATTGATCAAATTTTAATTATTATAGTGATTGACTGAATATTTAAATTGATGTTACAAAAATAAGACGGTATTTAATTAAATAAACGCTTAATATGACTTGATGTCTAATTTTTACATACTTGAAATATATTTATAATAATGTTAAAGCATTTATTGATGCTACTTTGTGTGCTTGTGTGTGTGTGTGTTTATTTTTTTATAAACAATTATCAATGTTCCATGTACAGTGATCAAGCATAATTTTTTTGATAACATTTTTTTTTTGTATAGATTTTTTAGTGTTAAGTTTTTTAAAAATTTTGTTAAAGACAACAAAAATATAATAGAATAAAAATATCCATTTATTTTTGAATAGACAATAAAAAAAAGTGTACTTGCTAATAAATAGTTTAATCATTGAATAACTAATTAGCTACACAGTGATGATAATTATTGTCCGGCCAGACGAAAGTATTACTCGTATTTAAAGACTAATCATGTTTAAATAAAATAATAGTTGACATACTTAATTTTTTGTATTTGTATTTGCTAAATTAAATGATTATTTTATAAAAAATATACAATAAATTTGTTGAGTTATTTTTATTTAAAAAAAATAAAACGTCCTTTAGTTAAATAATGTATATTTTAATTAACAGAGAATTATTTTTTGTATCAATACAAATTCCAAATAGTTCCCTCGGGTATATAGCGGCAAGGGATCTGACAATATTCCCATAAGGCAAAAGGGCTCACGTGCTTTTTTTTATCACCACATCCTTCTGGCAAACTCAAAGGACTATGATAAAAAACAATCCACCTTCTGCTCGCATCCCCGTTTCATCTTTTAAATTCTCAGACCTCTCAATAATTTGCATACTCGACACACTCTACTCCTTTTGTCTCCCTTTCCTTCCCGTTGTACCCTTCACTAATCTCTCGGCGTTGCAATTTTTTCATTTTTTGTTTCTCCTAATTTTTTTTTCAACCAAAAGATCCAACCAATGTTATATAATGCATAGTAATGAACGTAGTTCGTGTGAACGCATCTTGCCAAGCGATAAAAATTGATCGTACTTATTTAAAAAAATTGAACACTCTTCTCCAGCAGTAGAGTAGCTTTTTGCTGAACCCTTTCCATTTATAATTAAAATAATAAAAACCGAATCAGTCTTTTAACCGTTACTTGACAAAAATTATTTTCCTTGGCGTCTACTCACCTAAACTAAACTTGCATTCGCGGCGCAAAAAAAACCTCGGGTTTTGTCTGTCCAATAACTCGCGCGGCCTCACGGGCTTTTATCCAGGTTCGCAAAAAATTTCTTAAAAAAGGATTAAAAAAAAAAGGGGTTGACTAGAATAGAAGCGAAGCTTGGACTCGAGCGAGGTTACGGTTAAAATAAGATTGATAAAAGCTTGCCCGTGGGGGTGAAAAGTGAGCAGGACGGGCGATCGAGCTTCCGTAGCTGATAACTTTTCAGCAAAAAAACCCACCGACATTCGCGGATAGTATACACAAGCTTACCCTCTGCTCCAAAGAAACCGGGCTCTTTTGCTCATTCGAAAAAACGGAATTATAAAAAGAAAAATATAAATATAAATAAAACATAATAGAAAAATTCAACTCCAGCAACAGTGAAATCTGCACGGAGAAAAATTAATTATACTACCTACTATACAAAAATAGTAACTCCTACTATCTAAAATGGTAATAAAATTAATTAGTAACAAAATAATAGGTGGTATCATTGACAATTGTAATAGTTACTATTAATAATAGTAACGATTACTATCGAAAATAATAATTGTAATTATAATAAATTATAACTGTTACAATCGAAGATGATAACTGTAACCATCTCGGATTGTAAAAATTTTGAAAGAAAAAATAATATAAATTTACTTAATTAAATCCTTTATTTAAAATATTTTAAATTCCCTTCAAAATTTTTTTTTGAAAATTTTGATTTTTTTGGAAATTTCAAATTTTTTTTTGAAAAATTTGGCGTTGAAACTTGTTTTAGACAAATAAAAATTTTAACATAATTTCAATCCGAATTTAATCCCGATTTTTCGTACACTACAGCTGCTTATAGTTTATTCAAAAATGCATCCATAGTAACGCAGATTCTTAATTTTCTAAATATTTTTTAGTAGCTTAGATAGTAGTTATTATTATTACTGATGGTAACTGCAACCATCAGATTATATTAGGAATTACGATTTTGATAATAGTAGTAACTAATAAAAATAATAACAGTTATTATTACTGATTACCATCATAATAGTAGTAGCTACCATCAGGATGGTAAATACTATAATTCAAATGGTTTACTTAATTATTTAAATAATATTTTTACTACTATCGAATTCAGCTAATAGATTTTAACATAACTAGATAATAAACTTTACTATAAAATTTTCTCCGTGTGTAAAAAATAGTTTCATCATTCTACATTCTACATTATATCCCCACTGCAAATGATACCGCTCTACGGTTTCAAGAGATTAGAACAGAAACGGGAATTATAGTAGTAAAATTACGGTACAACCCCTAAGCAGTCCGCGACATACCAACGGTACGGCATAGGTGACTCTCGAAAGGTGAGGATGGTTACTGTAAGACAAGGTGGGGATGAGGCCTCGCTATTTTTTTCACCATTCACCACTTACCCCCCGAACCCTCGTGTTTGTCATCCCTACTCTGAAATAAAAAATAAAAAAACAAAACTCACACACTGACATCAAGACACTAATGGTAGTCGCGATTTAAAAATGAGTGGGGGTTTATTTAATGGATAAAAAAGGTCTGGGGTGGAGCGTTGTACCCGCGACTGCCGGACTAGTTCTTAGCGCTCGCGGTTTTTGTGTCCATACTTATACTGTACAGTGTACGGGGACTCTTTAGACACGGAGTTTGTGGCGATGGTACCTTGGGTCAAGGAGTGAGCCGAGAGTAGAGAGTAGAGGTAGAGGGAATTCCCGTTTCGCCGAGCAGAGGCTCCAGGGTGGGATTGCCAAGCTTGCCTTAACCAGGGGAGGGATTCGCGGATCATGGGGTGGGATCAGCCAAGGGGTTTATTCTAGAGCTGGTACGCTGACGTTTAAGCAATGCGGGATAGGGACAAGGCCGGTGAGGGGTCAGGAGAACCCCCTTTTTGTGTCTGAATGTGAGTGGGGAAGTAAAAAGGCAGCGTGGTTCTCCCAACATCGGCACCGCGACTGACTATCCGCCACCAAAGGAAGGAGGAAGGAGGAAGGAGAGAGATAAATATTAAATAAAAAGAAAAAGAGAACCGGCGAGTGAGTCCGAGTAGAGTCCCGGTGGGCTCTCGCGATCTTTGCTTTCCTCGGCAAACAATGTGTAGCACGCTATCGTACGGATTGCTTCGCTTACTCACATCTTTAATTCTTAATTAACTATCATTATCATAATCATAGTCATTATTATTATTTTATTAATAATAATAATAATAATTATTTTTTTTTTAATTTGATTGTTTGATTTTTTTTTCTGTTTTTTTTTTTTTATTTTTTATTTTTGCTCCTGCACGATTTGTTTAAATTGAATAAAGTGTGTTTAAGCTTTAAAAAGTGGGTTTCATTTAACGAATGTAGTTTGTTAGTTAGTGTATGCTGCACGCGTGGATAAAATACCTTTAAAGTTTGTGTGGGTGATAATTAGCGGGGGTGTGTTAAGAGAGAGTGTGAATGATAAATGGAGACGCGAGTGTGCGCTACCGGTAGCACGGTATCCGGTGGAACGTCAGCGGAAACGGCGTCGAGAGGCGTCGCGACGCCCTCGCCCTCACCTGTGCCCTCGCTCCCAGCCTCCTCCGGGACCGCGAGTATCGGTATCACCGCCTCCGCGGTTCTAACTTCCGCGGGTTCTATGCAAAGCTCATCGAGTCCAGTGGTGTTATCAAGCCCGCCTGTTGTCTCTACCCACGCCAGTCTGCCCAAAATACTCAGCAGAAATGTCAACGGAACACGTGAGTAAAACTATGTAATTATTTACGCCATCATCAAGTTATTTGTTCTGACTATTATTTTAATAAACTAATCACCGGTTTGTTTAAATTGCTCCGAAAAAAAAATAACAATGATTTATTGTAATTTACTGTTATAATAATAATAATGGTATTTTTTTATTAGAGATTAATAATAATAAAAAAATAAAAAGTAATACAAGTATATTGATGATGGTATTTTAAAGACGGTATATTAGTGTCGAGATGAAAGATAAATTTATCGAGTAGTCTTTTGGTCAGACACACAAAAGCGTGTCTTTAATGGTACGGCTATTTGTTGCTGATTTACTCAGAGTAATTTACTTGTCACAGAGACTTAACTAGCCAGAGTTGCGACTGAGTAGAAAGAGTGAGCGAGAAGTTAAAGAGCTGAAGGAACTAAAAGAGAATCGTGTCTTTCTCTACCGACATTATTCTTCCTTTTTATTTAACTTTATTTTATTTTTTAGCGATCCTCTTTACCTCTTGTTTCAACTTCTTACGTATTAGTATCTTACTGCTCCGTACTCTATACACTAAATGTACAGTACAGATATAAAGAGTCCCATGATGATCAGTGAGTGCAGACAAGAGAATTCAGTAAGCCACCAAACAACATTCACATTGACCGTTTAAAATATATATATATATTTCTTGTTCTTGTCGACAAAACTCTCACCAGCTCTTCAACTCCTCCTTCCTCCTTGTCTTTATATCCTCCGCGGTTTAGTTACAGTGTCTCAAACTCGTAACACTTGTGTACACAAAAGTGTACATTGCCGATACAAGAGACGGGAGTTGGGATGAAACGCGAATGACGATCCAAGTAGTGTAACCAAGCATTCAAAAATAACAGAGTCTCTACAGTAACAGCATGGCTGCCCAAGAAAAACTGGCTCCATAAATTTTTCGGGAAAAGAACACGAAGAAGAATTAACAGACGGACCCAATACCAACTACCAATGGATTACACCAATAAGAAACGAACCTCCGATGAGACATATCATAAAATTGCAAAAAAATAAAATAAAATGACGATATCGCTTAGCTCAAGTTTGAGTTAATCGTCTCGCTGGTATCAAACTCAGCTGAGAGCAAAAAATAATTCGAAAAATTTTTTAAATAAACTTTAATATAAAATAACTCAATAGTTTTTGCTGCGCCGCATGATTCACCTTCTTTCTCTTACATTCTTCTTCTTCTTCTTCTTCTTCTTCTTCTTAAACTCTTCATCATCTTTTATACTTTTTCTTATCGTTATTTTTTACTGGATTCTCTTTTTATACTTATTTCTGGTTACTCTTTTCTAGACCAGACACAAAAAACTATAACGACTTGGCAAAAAAATTGCTCACTTTTTCGTAAGCATTACCCAGCTCTCGGCTATTGCGAGTTTACTTTTTTGCTACATTACTTGTATGACATAGCAGAGTTCTGGCGACGTTTTATGCCGGTACGGGGTATTCCAAAAAAACATTCAAATATATATAAAAATCATAGGAAAAAATTTATACGCATATATATAAAAACAAGTATTTCTTAAAAAGTTCCAGACAATTTTTTTTCCAATATCGGCACAAAAAAAAATAACGCGGTTTTTAAAATTCCGAGATTAAGATATCATTATAATAATCTAAATGTCGTTATAGAATAATATAATTCATTTTGTTAGTGAAGATCAAACCCACGCAGCTGCTTTTTATCTTGTCTATTCTCTTAAAGAAATTTTTTGATCCTCGCAGTCTACAGAGATATTTACTTTGGAGCTATTATGCCGAGATGAGCGTTGATTATTATTTTATTCTGAATGTAATCAGACGATCGTATAATTCACAACGACAGAATTTATTATTAAATAGTAGGGTTCATTAAATTGTTTGTCTAAAATATTTGCTTACGCTATTGGTTTTTGCCCGGTTACTTTTTTCTGAATAATAACACATTAAAGTAATATGAATAAAAAAATTTCGGTCACGGTTTAGTGAAAATAATAATGGTTTTATCCGGTCGTTAATATTTTTGCTCGGAATCACTGCTCGTTGCAGCAGACGCTCAAGCAAGATTGTTGTTTAATTTTAATATACACTTTAGGTTTGTACCTTTAAAAATACTTAAACTTTTATTGTTGCCGAGTTATTCAGTCTTCCGTTAAAATTAACTCTTTTTGCTTCACTTTTAGTTTTTAAAACCCCACCTGCTTTATTTGTTTACCCGCACAGTAAAAAATTTTGCATCAATGCGTCAAAAAATTTTGTGTTAAAAATTTTTGTGTTAAATATTTAACACTTTTGCTCGGAATCACTGCTCGTTGCAGCAGACGCTCAAGCAAGATTGTTGTTTAATTTTAATATACACTTTAGGTTTGTACCTTTAAAAATACTTAAACTTTTATTGTTGCCGAGTTATTCAGTCTTCCGTTAAAATTAACTCTTTTTGCTTCACTTTTAGTTTTTAAAACCCCACCTGCTTTATTACTGTGCGCTTATTTTTTTTTTTATTGCATCAACCAAATTTTTTACTCAAATTAAATTTTTATACAAATTTTTTAATTGTTTAAAAAATTTATTTAAAAATAAAAATTCAACGATATAATTAATTAGAGATATTTTTAGTGAATTATAAATTCCATTAAATAGTAAAAAAAAACTTAATATTTTATTCATGTGATTCATTTATCTTTAACACAGTTATTGTTTGAATAAAAAAAATGGTTAAATCAATTTAAAAAGTGACTAATTTATTGGCTTGAAATTTTTATCCGAAAATATATTAAATGTCACGGAATAAAATATAATTTTTCTTTAAAAAAAATAAACAAATAATTAAACCTGAATATAAAAAGAGATAATAATACAATTATATAATGAAGCATAAAATCGATCTGAGAACTATAAGAATTTCCCACAGTCTCTCAACCGAATAAATAAATTTTTTTCTTACTCTCAAATGTTTACATTTTTTCCCGCGAGAATTTATCTATTTTTTTTTTTTTCATCAATTAATACTCCAAAAATTATATCCAACTGAATAACAATTATTATCCAATAAATAATAATATTTTTATCCCAAGTCAAAGCTCAACCAAAAATAATTACGGCGTAATAACAAGCACCGATAAAAAATGATTAAAAAAAGGCCTGAGAAAAGAGCGAGAGGTGGGTCGTCTTTCCGACAATCCTTTTGTTTAATTTTTTTTCCTCAATTCACTCTCAATTTTTTTTTTTGACTTTTTTTTTATCAATTCTAGTTTCTATGCCGTGAGTAGACAAGACAAGACACATGTACATGTATATATATATATATATATATATATATATATAT